ATATGTCGCAAGATTCGCTAGCGTTGCAAATTCGGCCGGCTTTACCCGTAAGAATTATCGATCATCCCCTCCATAAAACACGAGAGTGTGCAGAAATCACGAGCGTGGCGTAGGGGGTACGGTGAAAAATCTAGGGCGCTCGGATAAGTGACTATGTCATAACTATGAATCTTACAGGGAAGCAGGCATTTCTGTAAAGCCACCTCTAACAAGAAGTAAGTGAAATTGATTTTACCCAGATCCCGGTGTACGCGTTCACCTATAAAGCCTATGATGTACGTACATGTACGTACGTCCTTGTATACTGTTGAAAATTAACTGAAAAATATCTGTAGTACTCGCAATGCCGCTCCATAAAATACAGATTTATCGAGTATTTTTCTCTTCTCTCTTTTTTTTTATTTGTACCTGTCTCCTCCCTCCTCATTCCCTCAAAAAACACGCGTCGAAAATATAATCGTGTGTGATTTGCGCGCTTTGATAGAGCTTTCACCGCGATATTTCTGTGTGTGCAAATGACACTCGACAAAGGCCGCGCTCCCACAACAACTGCAACGTCGCAGTCGATAATTGTTACATTTCGAACATGTTTTTGTTATTACGACACGCGCAGCTTGCCGCTCGCATTTTCAAGCGATGTAATTGCCAGCTGCCAGATCGATAAACAACAAGAAAATACGTCTGAGACATAAAAATCTGCAGAATTTTGCATAAAAGGGCATATTTAATAATTGACAAGCAAATAATCTTTCCCGCATAATCCTCCGTTTTTATCGCCATCATTGCTTAAAAATATAATGAGCTTTTTTTGCTGCAAATTTCGAAGATTTATAATCAATTTTTATAGCGTTGAGACAAACTGGCCCAATCAGTTCTATCTTTGATATCGCACGATGTCGAAGCTCGCTTTAAAATCGATCTAAGAATTAAAGTTTCTCCAAGCAGCAGTTTCTTTGCAGCTTCCTTCCTAATCTTTAACGCGTATCAAGAGAAAACGAGTAATCTGTTGTGAGCACCGAGCGCGGATTAATAAACGAGAGCTGAAAGCGTCCATCTGCAGCACCGACGACGGAAGCAGGAAAACCTGCGGAAGGCGACTGCGACATCCTTCTAAGCCCTAAAACCGTACCGTGAAAGTGTCGGCGCCCCGCCGTATCCAGAGAAACGACGCTAAAGTACTTGCAGAATCGCAGTACGTGTCCGAACTTCCCCGGCCTCTCCGACCATCCACCCTCGCAATTCGTCGTCCCACCCTTCCAAGTTCCTAAACTTGGTGGCGGAGCCTCGCCTATTATAGCGGCCAAGTTCCAGTCTGTCCAAACCCATCCGTCCACGCACACCAGCGCGATGCTCTTTAATATATTCGCGTGTAACGTGTCGCTAACCGTGTGTGTTCGTGTACCAGCCGGCTGGCTTGTGTTCGTACGCGTGTTCCGATCCCACCGTCCTTTAAACACGAGGTCTGTTCCTGTCATAAGACGAAACGGTCGTCATCGATCGATATTAGCGATCCGAGAATAGAAAATAAAACGAACGGCAAATTCGGACACTCTAATAAACGTAGATAATTGGATAAATTGGATAAATATCATCGTGGAGCCACATAAATTATTATAAAGTTCAATCATCATTAAGTCTAGACCATCCTATATCGACGTACATGGAGAGATACAAACATATATAACAAATAGTGAAATTATATTTATTTCTATATATTTATTATTATTTTATTATATATTTATTTCTTATTTTTTCTCGATTAATTTTTATATTAAATTCTATAGTAAAAATAACAGAAAAATTATTCATATAGTGGAATTCATTAATAGGATTTTAATTAATGGAAAAAGTTAACATTATTATTCTCTTCCATTATTGATTCTTTTCTCAAAGTGTTATATGTATATAATAGATTAAAATGTTATCAGAACAATATTTGAGAGCGAATGTTGCGGCAGTCAGGCATGCGGAAGTAAACGAAATGCTCGAGCTAAAATTCAATCGAATCCTTTACCGCTTTTACCGGAAATACGGATAGGCGACCGGATCGTCGTCAATCTCTTGTGATCACCAGAACGGAATCTCTAGACCTTCCTGCCTGATTGACGGGACAGAATATCTTTGCGCTTGAATCGCAGCGCCTTAATCGAATTCCTGGCGATGCTCAGTGAACTTGTTTAGCATCAGGGACTACATCGGAGACAATTGGCCAAAGTAAATGCCAGGATGCGAATGACGTATTTACGCGACGAGCGCGCGCAAAGAATATAAAGAGATAAAAAGATTTTGAGATCGCTAGCTCCATTATTAAAAAATTCCTTCGCTTTTGCTTCGAAAGAGAGAAAAAGAGTGAAAGAAAGAAAGAAAATCTAAAATATTATGTTTTCTAAAATTAAAAATGCGTTCCACTTTCCCTTTCCCTCCCGCCCTCCTTCTCTCTCCCTCTCTCTCTTTCTCTCTCTTGATGGAAAATTCATTTTCGTGTGATTCTTGGCTCGATATTGCAACGATAACGTAGATTTGTTGACATAAGTCGTGCAACCGAAAAGCCAAAGACGAAAATTATTAGATGAGACCTACTTTTGAAAGATCTGTTCGGTATATTAATGATATTGCTGCTTCCGACGTTGCACGCTTAAAATAAACAGAAAAGATTAATATTGAAATCAAAGTCCAAGTCGAAAAAATCTTATATATTCGTAAAATTTGATTACGCGTTCGCACGTCCAAAGCTTTACACTGGTGGCGCCAAGTATAAATGGCGATCGTGAAAAATGCAATCCGCGTGTTATGCTATGCAATGACTTTGAGAGAGTTTGAACTAGTTTATAGTAACGGTACAATGTCGGACTAGTGTCCCTAGCAGTTAAATGAACGAATGTCATTGAGCTACTTCGAGAATAGATATATGATTAAATCGATCTCGTTGAGTCAACGTCAAAGAGAGCGCTGAAGTTCTTTATAAATAACGCAAGGTATACTATCGGAAAATTTTTTTATCAAATATGAATAACTTTAACTTCTAAAGTACTTTATTAAAACCTCATTAAAAAATACCGACATAACTCTACTTTTTAATTAACTTTCAATTTGTACGGATATACAGTGGGAAATTTATTGAAAAATAAAAAAATCTTGTGAGAGCCTGGTGTGATTACAGAAGAAGAAGAAGAAGAAGAGTTTCAATTTACGATATATATATATATATATATATATATATATATATATATATATATAAAGCGAATTTGTGCTCGGCATTTAACATTTCGTTTTCCTTTTTACTGCGTCAAGGAGTTTGCAATTGTGTCTGTGTGTCCGAGCAAAGTTGGAACACGAGCGATATAATAAGGTCAGAGGTTTCCGCGACGTTACTTATGTCGTCCAAACACAAGCGCAACTGCCTAAAGGTTTCATAAAAATAATTGGACGCTCAACGAAACGAGAGGAGACGTACAAAAGAAATGGCGCAACGAATTTAACCGACGTAAGTCCTTGATACGTTTCCGCAATATTCTGTATCAACAAAGTGATATCCCGTCGTACCATCCGACCGACAAAGATAAACGCGGATGTATCTCCCGGTAACTTCTTATTCCGCACGTAATCATTCACTATGGATTTGCGGAAATGTCTGCCGTGCGGATCGCGCGGAATCATAAATTCTCTCTACTGCGTTTCCGACGTACAGTTTTACATAGTTTCATAGATGTTATGCACTGTTGTGCAATGTTACTTTATGATTTCCTAGTTACACGGTGAATCAATTCCCTCGAGCAAAATAGGAATCAACTTTGATCATTTTAGAACTATTAAAACCTGGAATTGCGTGAACTGTTAAAAGCAAATATTAATATAAAAGACTGTTTGCGATCATAAATGTTTTCACACTGTCCAGATTTCAAAGTAATCATTTATCGTTATTGCCCTCATCATACGGACAATTTTACGGTAACATCGATAAACGTATATATAGTAGATATATAACAGACATATAACAGATATATAAATAAATATGGTGGATATATATAAACAGATATATAAATTAATTTCTTCATAAAACAAAGCGAAGATTGAATCCGATTTTCACGAGCCGGAGAGTTAACGATTCCGGTCAGAAAAAAAAAAGAAAAAAAGGGGATGGGAATCATCGATGCCGGAAAGCGATCGTCCACTTGTTTTTCATTGATTGGTCCTGGGAAAAATATATTTCGCCTCCGTTTCTCGTCGCGACATTTTCTATCATGAGAGACAGACGAAAATAAAATTGAAGTCTGCCGATGTACCGGTATAAAAGTTTAGTCCTGTCTGATATTCTCTGCAGAATAGGACGAATGTACATAGGAAACGGGATAAAAGTAATCTCGGTTTGTATAAACTTTATAGAAATACGCAGAAAGATAGAGAGATAAAATGAAATAAATTTTATATAAAAATAAAATAACAAAATTCCGCCTTGTATATATAAAATAAAAATTTTATATAAAAATATGAAAGAATATACACTTTTTCTCTCCTCCCGAAATATTATATACTTTATATATGTATGTAAACATGCGTATACATATATACGAAATATTGAATTTTCAATCAGTGACACATATATAACGAACATTAAGAGAACGCTCGAATAAATCGAAAATGACTTTTTGCGAAATCGTTATTCATTTTGCACCGTCGAACACGTCGAAAGTTAAAATATTAATTGATCGATACACATAAAATCGAGACAATTTGTCGCGATAATATATACATAGTTTCATATCTCGTGTCGTGTCGTGCGCGCGCAAAATCCATGGAGGTATCGAGCCTCGTTACACGAGGTGAGAGCAAGTAAAAAAAAGTCCGATACGGAAAGAGGGAGGGGAGAAATACGATGGGGATACGATGCTAATAATAACGCGCGACTATAATCTTGTCGGTACATGTACAATTCGTTCAAACGCAGTGACTGCGTTTGAAAAGAACGCATAAAGATCGTGCAACACACAACAGTGACATACCTGATTTCTCGTCGACAGTGGTACCGCTCCCAGCAACGTGCGAGACAGCCTTCATTAGTCCGAGAAACAACAACACTACACTCCACATGTTCCCTCGTTATTCGTCGTGCAAATACTCGTCACGAAAAAAATTACGCCCGACGTCGCGGGAATACGTGCACTTTTCCCTCCGAAAAATGTCGAGCACGATCGGATTTACCGGAGATTTTCGCGTCGAGGTGTCCCCGAGCCGTTAAGTCATCGTTTCCGATCACTCGCGGATTCACGCCACAGTTATCAGCTCGGCCGGCTCCATCCCCTTCTGCTCCAAATTGGAAACATAAGAAGCGATGACCCCTACGTGCCTCGCACCGCGCGTTTCTTCGAGACGATATGCAAATGCGGCGCGATGTAAGGGATATTTTTCTTCGATTTGCCTCGAGTAACCACCCGCCGGATGCATTCCCCGTCACGTCCGTCGGATATCCGATTCCAGAGCGACCGCCGGTCCACCGGCAATAAGCGTGTTCGGTGCCCGCAGTTCCGGGTGCGTCCTGTTTTTCGTCTCTCTAATTAAACACTAATTAAAGCGCCCGCAGAACCGCGCATTTTCTCGCTCTCTCGCTCTCTTTCTCTCTTCTCTGTCCTTTCTTCCTCTCTCACTCCCTTTTTACCACCGTTTTCGTGTGTTATTAAAGCGCGGAACGAGAGTGGTAATCTCCGAGGCGGCGGAAAATCTCCCGCACTTCCGGTCTATCCAAGCGCCACCAATGCCGATAACCCGCAATGTTCACCATAGTGTCTGCAATCCCCAATGACCATGGCACGGCTTGAGGGGCAGTTGACTACGTTGTTGAAAGAGTGAAGAGCCTAGAGAAGGGCTGGAAAACGTTTTTGTCGATCTGAGGCGTTTGATCTTTACAAACGACGAGCAATAGAAGATTCTACGAGTGATACGTTGATAGAAATTTAATTATGAATGTCAAAACCAGGTCTCGAGATTTTTATTATGCTAAACTGTCCGTCAGATATCAATCAGTTTTCCTCGATTAAATTCTACTTTCCCGTTTACTATTTGCGAAGCGCGATTGTCTCCTCGCAACAATCGGTTTCCTGATGCCTCTTATCCATTCGGTTAATTACAAAATCGACACAATCTGACGTACAATCACTCCGTGTCCAACCGCGATTAGAAGAACGTCGAGTGATTTTCGCGTCGAATAGTACGCTTATCGGTTTAGCAATTTACAGAGGTGATTCAGTGAAACGTTGACATGTTTTTTGATAACCGGACAAGGATCGAAGGATATAGAGACGAGGCTTACAACTTGACAATTCTGGTTTACCGTTTCGAACACAAGTTTTGTCCGATATGGCGCGCTGTCGCAATATATAATAAAAACCAAAAGGGCAGCGGAGATGTTCAATCACGCCGGGCCACCACAGATTTGGAGCTTTCCTGGAATCGGTCCAAGTAACAACCCAGGCGACGCAAGGGCCTCGCAATCACGTTGGAGCAGCAATGATTGCGAATTGGAATCGATTCGAGGGAATATTGAAGGAACGGAATGAACTCGATCACACGGCCATCGCAGATTTTTCCGATCGATCGAAACGAAGATCACCGAGTCGGCGGATCCCCCAATGATTTTCATTCATCCCTTCGTGGCGAGCCTCGCTCGTAATCAGGTACGTCGAAAGATTACAAGCGAACGAGAGAGAAATGAACACGTTTATTCGTCGATAAAAAACGATAGATCCTCCACAAACGTGTTCGTTGCGATAAACTTTCTAAAAGAAGCATGCATTAATTATCTCCCCACTTGAATTACTTGTTTCCTATGTCCGTTCCGCGGAGACGCGGATTCTGACATGTGCGATGTCGCGCGTTAAATTCGACAGAGTCCTAATCGAGACATCCCCGAAGAAGATGACCTTCACGGAGCGCAACTTTCGGAGCTGCTCGGTACCCCTTTATCTCCCGGTTATCGCTCGGTTTGTAACGGCACCAGGAGACGCACGATACCACCCCTCGCGACGCAACATGACACATCACTGGAGAGGGTGGGTGGGGGGGACGAACACGTGGTTCTCGACCGACGGCGGACGGCACACTGACGGAAAAGACGAGCAAACGGCGCGGCGACGGACGCGCAGCCTGCAAAGCCTCCCGAGGAGGTGGTGGTGGTGGTGGAGAAAGAGCGGAGGGTGCGGAGAGAGAAAGGGGTTTCGTGCACCATCACCATCGCCACCACCACTACCATCACCCGCTACCACCACCGTCGCCGCCGCTGCCACGGCAGAAAGGGATGTCCGATTCCATATCTAAGGGAGCGCGTACTCGAATAATGCACGTCGCCGGACTGGACAGGGGTGAAAGGTAATGCCCGGTTGGATATATGCACACACGCGTGTGCCCTCGTGCCGTCCCTTTTTCTCCTCTCGAAACACAACGATGTGCGAGCGCAAAGTGGCCCGACAAGTGTTTACCGGGGCTCGACGCCGGAAGCCCCGCGCCAACGGATATTTTATTCCCGCGAATAACGAGATGCAGAGAACGCGTGTCCGATGCACGCGCGCGTTTCCGTATACATCATGCATCTGATAAACCTTGTTGTTTATTGATACGAACATGGATCGATAGCGAACGATGTACACATTTTCGTCCAATTCTGAGATGCGTTCTCTAGCGAATGCTAAATTTAATAGACAAATAATTACTATTAATGTGAATTCGTGCGCATTGATAATTGGCTGTTTACATAACGCGGCAAACCTCCAGGGGATGCTGTAATAGAGATATCTGTTTCTATTTCTAAATAGAATACATGTACCATTATCAATCAATGAATATACAAAGACATGCCGATTACAATAAGATTTGTTAATATTATATGCGTACATATATATATATATATATATATATATATATATATGTATAAATATATAAACATATATGCAATTACAAATAAAAATAAATAAAAACATGAGAGAAATAACATAATAGCACTTGATTATTTATTGTGTAAAGCGATACGGTGCAAAAATAAATGGTTTAATTTATAGTTGTAAAATAACGACCAACGTAAATTAAGAAGAGAGGAGGGAGGTTGCTGAAACTGTTACGCTATTCATATAATTAGCCGCATCGTATATAATATTTGCATATTACTCGAAACTTCTGCACCGAAATGCGCGATATACGTATGTTACTACTATGCGATACAAAAGGTCAAAAGCAACGCGAAAGGTACCGATGCACACGCGATATTTCACAAAATATTCAGATATATAATAATAAATTAATTACTCCGATATTGAATTTAAATTAATTCTCCTATAAACAATGCAAAAAATAACTTGAAGAAAATTGACATTAAAATAATTATATTCTGTAAATTTAGAAAAATTTAATAATAAAATAATTGCGACAAAGTTTTATCAATTTCGCTGAAATTTTAACAGCTTTGGTGAAATTTAATTTGATTTAATTTTTTTTCTTTAATAGTGCAATTTTCATGTGTATATTTTTACTGTTTTATAATATCCCATAAAATTAGAAACATTATTTTCTTTATTTACTCAATACATCCAATTCATTTTGAACATTCGATTTTTGTTTATCTAAGATATTGATTATTTTATGCGTCTCGTTTTGAAAAATAAACTGTCCGAGTTAATATAGCATTTATTTCACGTTCAAGATTTACTTTGCAATATTTAACGCAAATATTTGTGTTAAATTTACCAAAAGTATCAATAACACATAACATATGTTAAACTGCAGGCGATGTATATTACATGACGACAAACAGCACAAGTATATGTCCTAATATTATAATAATACAATTGATTAATAAATAAACGAGCAACAAACTAGAGAAGTCTGTCCCAAGATTTACCCTTTACGATTTGTAATATTGTTCCCGATCGTCCATGTCGACGTAGAGCACTCTCGAAGACGCGTATCCGGGCGTTGAATAATTATTTAAATCGATTCGCATAAGATCGCGGCCAATTTTCGCGCGAGCGTTAAATCTAGAAGAGTGCGAAAAGCCCGGCCATTCCGCTCAACTCCAAAGATGGCTCTTGATAGTCGGGTTAAGATGCTTGCGCGTACTCGCCTGTCCGTGCACGAGTGCTTGCTTTCGGTTCAGTGTCGAAGACGGTTTATAGTGGTTTAAGAGGACTAGAGGTCGGTGACGCGACCAGGGAGGAGAAGAGGATGATAGTACGAGGGGGGACAAGAGATCGAAATAGGGTGAGAGACCTCGGGGCGAAAGAGGCGGATGAGGAAGCAGATGCTCCCCAACTGGTGTCACGGATCATGGTCATCTTGAAAGCTCCTGAAAGGCGGGAATGCCCCGCGTGTCCTCTGAAAGCTATCTCTCCGAGGAGGGAATGACTCACTTCGCTCTCGTTGGGATCGCGCGAACTCACTCTCGCGTGTGTATGTTCGCGGATATAGTGTGTAAATATGTAGAGGGATCCCTCTTCTCCGAGGACGAAAAATGGCAGGTACTTTGCGGATGACGGTTTCATCCGGGGCTCGTTAACTCGTTTACTCCTGTCAACCTTCGTTTCCACGTTTTTTTGCACGTTCTTTCATCGACACCTATTTTTATCTCTTATAGTTTGCCAATCCGGTAAAAATAAACCGCGCAACTAAAGACCATAAAGGATGTATTTGAAAAAAATATTAGTGATAGAATACAATGAAATAATTATGATAATTTTTCTTTGAATTTGTTTTTTAGTATTGATTTTGCGCACACATCTACAGCAGAGCGAAAAACGTCAAACATTTTCACTAATAGTTGTCTTCATTAAATAAATGCAAATTTTAATTTCTTCTAATATAAATTATATATAAAAATCACATTTTCTCACCGAGAATTACCTGCGTATTTTTAAAAGATTCATCGTGTCATATTAACTGTCATCCTAAATTTTATTTGTGCATTGAAATCCCGCAAAAACACACATAGTAACAATCCTATTTCATTACTGCTGCACACACAAGATATATATAATATATATATATATATATATATATATATATATATACATATTCGTTATTTTTATATAAATCATATTTAATTACTGCGGAGCATGGGATGTCGTGATATCAAGAAAGGCACGAACACTGCAACGGTTATCGTCTCGTGTTCATGTCGATCATCTCGTCATGAAACATGGTACACCACTCGATATGACTCGACACGAGAATAATATTTCGCGGAAAATGATACAATGTGCCACTGTTATTATGTTATGTCATTAAAGATCGCGCGAGCTTGTTAAACGCTGCAGCAATCGAAGGATCCGAACGTGACACGCACGTCGAACTTCGTTCAAACAAAAACTGTGGATTTCATGAACTTTCGCGATCATCATTCAACGACAACGATTCGATCGAATATATTTTATCTCCGTCAATTTGAGTTCCTCTACGAAAGCTCAAATTTGAATGTATGGCATAAGCGAATGCTAATTTATTTTCTTCTAATTCCTAATTTATTATTTATTTCTCTTACCAATTTGCAGAAAATTGATATTCAAAAAATAAAATTCTGATTTAACATTACGTTACATATAATGGCTTGTCTTTCGAAAAGTACTTATAATGAATCGTAAACAAAAAAACTAGATATGAAAATTAATTGCTAATTAATTGCTTAAAGATACTGTAAATAGATTTCAAAAATATTAAATTTCTATGTATTAAGAATATTATAATGAAATATATTACAAGTATATTATATTATAAATAGTATTTTTGGACAATTAATTAGCAATTATTAATTTTAATAATTTTAATTACTTTTACAATTTTTCTCTTTTACAATCGTTAATAAATCTTTTTCGAAAATAGAAACCGTAACATAATATTAATTCAGTACCTTTATTTTAATATCAATTTTTTATTAATTGTTGAAAGTAATAAATTAGTACTTAATTTTGTCATATATCTAAATATAATTATTAACGACAATACCAGATAAATATAGTTTGCATATTCAATCATGCATCGTTCTTAGAGAATTATTCCTTTCTATATTTCAAAATACACAAATTAATAGTATTTTATAAACACTTAAACTAATTTCTAACAGATTTTATTTTTTTAAATATGATATCAAGATAGAATCTCATTTCTATTATTTTCTTTAAAAAAAATGATTTCTCTAAAATAAATTAATTCTATATTACTTAAATTGAATTTTGCTAACATTTAATTTTAATAGAGGATCAGTAGTATTATAATATACATATCTAAAGCACTGAAAATTTACCAAATGAACTATATGATTTAAACTAATGAATAAGATTAGCATTATCAGCAGCACTACGGCTTTAACTTTGAATAGAACATGATATGTATGTGCGAGTGTATGAATGTGCTTTAATTCTGAATAAAATACGACGTATATGGTCAAATAATAAAAATAAAAATAATAAAATAAAATAAAAATTGACGTATGCTGATCTACTAAATACTACAATATTGAAGCATTAATAAAAATAAGAATAAAAATAATAGAATAACGCTTTAGATACATTTAATAAATATTAATTTTTAATAAACTTTTATTTTTCAATTATATAGACTTGTTCGCACAAATGAAATCATTAGTGAAACTGGTTCATTAACGAATTTATCCCTGATCCAATTAAGGAATTATTGAATATTGAACAGTTAAAGTGTTTTACTGAAATCAATAAATATGTTCTATATTATATAGCATTTGACAATTCCCGTATGAGAGATTCGTATATAAATTAACTTTCGGTCATAAAATTAATTTATGCAATGTAAATTAGATGTTGATTAACGTGCCACTGTAATACTAATATATACTAATTAATTTAAATCGCATAGTTCATTTACTATTTTACATAAACGTCAAATGATTGATGTAAATCGCGTTCATATCTTTCGATTGTATATGCGATGAAATATATATTATTTGTAATTAATTGCACCATGCAGTGAGAGAGTACATTGATTAATATTTAAAATAAATAATATGCAAACAGGAAATAATTCAGTCAATT